GATTTTCTGTCTTCTCTACTGATAAGATTTTAAAAATCAGCAAACACAATAAAACAGAAATATGATATATTAAAAAAGGGAAAAAGTAAAATACCCATATTCTACCACCTAGAAACTACAACTACCATTCTGTAGTGGTGTATGGAAGGTAACTCTTTCTTTGTCTTTTGTTCTTTCACGTTTTCTAGTCATGAGCACTAATTCACCGAATCTCATTGAAATCTATTATTGTATGCTTTTGCGTAGGAATTTCCAGTACTTTGGTGTAAGAAATCTGAGTCATTGATACTAATTGTAAGAATGTTAATAAGAGCTAAATTTCATCAAGTACTCAGTATGAGCCAGGCACTTTGTTGGTACTCTGCATGCATTCTAATTTAATCCTGACAATGAGCATTTGAAGTAGGTTTTCTTTTCACTTCCATTTTAGAGTGGAAAACTTGACCAGAGAATGTTACTTGTTCCAGATGCCACAGCTTATAGTAAGAGGCAGTCAGGACTCAAACTCAAGTGTGCCGTGATTAAAACCTCTGTCCTTCACCCAGACACTGCACTCTCTCCATGGTGCTGGGCCTGTCCTCTTCCCCTGGTGGAGTCATTCTCTGAAGAACCAGATACTATGCTATATTTTTCTATTTGGTTCACATCTATCTCCGTAGATTCTGTATCATGACTACGGCACTTTTCTCCAAATCCAGCTTTGAATCTGAATATCTCAGTTGGTCTATCTGCCTAGCAAAATCCCCTCTGAGTTATATATTATTAGCCCTTTGCTAGGACTCCACTGTCCTGGTATCTTTTATTCACGACTTTGGAAATAAAATCTTTCCCTCCAATGCACGGTTCAGGAGAGCAGCACCTGTTCCGATTCATCGTGGCCGATTGTGCACTGCTCATTGCATAACTGACACCACAGCACGCCAGGCTGCTTTAAAATGTGAGAATGGAAGGTGAGTTGAGTTTGGCATGTACTGAAGTTTTTCTTATTTGCACTCCACTTCTCCCTCCCACACTACCCCCTCACCCCTGATCTGTCTTCCACACTGCTGTCCATCTCTTTCCAAAGCACAAACCTGATTTTGTTCCTCCCTTTCGCTGCCTTCAAACTCCTAAACATGTCATAAAAGGATTTTTGTCATCCCGATCCTACCTCCTCTTTGGCCTTATTTCCCACTATTTCTCACCTGAAATAGTCTGTCCCAGCCACATGCAACTGTTTTCAGCTGTTGGGAATACATCACGCTGTTTTATGGTTCCTTTGCTTTGACAACTATCTGGAATATTCTCATCCTTATCATCACCTCCCCATCCTCACCTCCCTCTCTCTGAACTGTTAACGTTCTCTGAGACACAATCCAAATGAAATGTCCTCTGTGAAGTTTCTACAGACGCTTCTGAGAAGAATGAGCACCATACACTTGCTTCTGTAATTTCATTTAGAGCATTGGATCTCGGTCTTAGTAAACTGTAAGCTCCTTACAGATAACAGTCAAGTCTTGTTTACTTGTGAAAAGCTAATATCAACTACAAAGCTACAGCTCGGTAAAGGCTTAGTCAACACTTGTAAAAGAATGAATGAATTCGTGGAACCCAGGAGGTAATTCACAAACGATCAAGAAGTTGTGCAATATAGAAAGTATAGAAAGTCGTCTCACTTTGGCAAGAGAGAAAATGTATGTGGTGCAACCCTATCAGTTGAACTTGACTTAGGTAAACCTTGACATGCTGAATCAGTGAGTCTTAGCCTTCACTGCAATCATAATTACCTGGGCACTTGAAAAAATTACCAATGCCTGGGCCTTACCCCCAAAATTCTGCTTCAAATTTTCTATTTTTTAAAAAACAGTCTATGAGATTCTAATGTGAAGGTGAAGACTAACTGCTCTAAATAAATAGAAATTTCAGTACACAGAGACATAAGTTTCTTCAAGGCAGAAGCTATTTATATGGATGGGACCCTAGAATTCACACAAAAATGTGTCAGTGCTTAGCCTGCCTATACATTTCTAGACACATCTTATCATGCCCACTAAGCCTTGTGACATGTTCCCTCATTACCTCGGTAAATGTGTCCATAGTTCCTGATAGATTTCGCTCTCATTGAGCAAAAGAACTTGCATCTTTCCACGGGGAGCTTAGCTTGTTGGCGGATATTGGCTAGAATCCCAACCCAGAAAAAGACAACACTGAATTTAAAAAGATTCGAATTGTTGCTAAATGTTTAATGTTGTGGTTAAAGTCTCTGCTTGTGAAGTAAATAAAGTTTTTGGACTTGTGATGCAATGTGATTTCAGGAATACAAAACCTTGGACTCTGTGTCTAGGTCTCTATAGTTTAATTTACAAATTAAAGTAGGAAAGGATATAAAGTCTATAAAAAAGGATATAAAAATTTTAAGTGCAAGGTCCTTTGTTTCATATAAAACAAATATTGTCATGTATTCTTATAACTTAAGTATCTATGCATCTATGTATTCCAATTCATGAGTCACAAAACATAATATATTATGTGCAATATTAAATCCAAGAGTTGGCTAATCTTTAGTAGTGAGTATAAACCCAACAATACAAAACATCCACTTGGTTTGCCAAAATTCCTTGGATATTTTTCGTAATGATTTTTCCATTTGTTCTGCCAAACTAAACTTCAGTGGTAAGTTTAAATGCGTCTTTAAAATGTCATTTAATGTTGATTATCAGCCAGCTCCTTGGTTATTATCATGAGTTAGTTATTGGAGTGTGAGTTGAACTATATGGAGGGGAAGGTAGACAGGCTCCAGGCCCACCACGTGGTGCCAAAGTTACACGAAACAATAAATCACAGACTGGAAGGTGAACGGCCACATCTCATCTTAAGGCTCATCATAAAGGCTTTTCATTAAACCTATGTGTGTTTTTACAAGAGTTCTGGGAACATCTTACAATTCTCAGACATGTACAAGTGGCAAAGCATTCAGGACTAATAATAATTACAATTTATTAATTGTGTGCTTTACCATTGATTATCTTTGTATTCAGTTATATAAAGGAAAATTTCACTATCCCAAAACAATCAAACAAAAAGCTGTCACACTACATTTGATTTAGTTGTCGCTTCATTTCCCCGTTTCTTTGTCTTTGCAACAATTTCCAAAGTTCAGTAGCCGGTAAATTAGAGCTGGTGGCAATGAGGTATAATTAACATATAATAAAATGCACAGATCTTAAAAGTTTAGTTTTAGATGAGTTTTGACAATTGTATGTACCCAAGTAACAACCACCTGAAATAAAATATAGAACATTTCCACCCCTCTGGAAAGTTCCCTCGTGAGAGGGAGTACATCCATCAGCAAGCATCATTAAGAATCCCTCTCCCCATTGCTGCCCGTCTCAATGTCTATTGTGCACTTCTCAACGGCTGCCACAAACGTTCTCAGTTTCAAACTTCTCAATGTTTCTTTTCCTGATGCCCAGCCTGTCTGGTTTCTCTCTGTCTTTCTCCATCGACTGCCGAGCTTTTTTATACAGACCAACTTGGCCTCTCTTCATTAGTATCTCTCTTCTCCACGATAAAGCCGAGCCTGGGAGTAATCAAGCAAACAAGAATCCTTCCCCTTAAAAGGAGAAAGTGGAGTGTGTGTGTATATGTGTGTGAAGATCGTAACTGAATTACAGAAGGGGAAGGACCACCATTATTTTATATACACTTTTCTTACCATGGAACACACTGTTCTTTAGAAGCATAGTTTAAGAATCACTGTTTGACAAGAACATTTCTTAAACTGATGTCGTCTTGAGGAACTTTAGACCTGTGGCTATAGACCAGGACCACCCCAAAGAGAACAAGCAAAGTCTGTGTACTCAGAGATTACTATAGCTGGGGAGTCGCCCATCATCATTTGTGTTTGGTGGAGAGTCAAAGTCAGGTAGAGGAGGTGGAAAATTTTGACTATAGACAAAAGGAGAGAGTTTCAAGTATGCCCTGGTTGGCGCTCATTGGTATCAGGAAGATGAAGGTGGACTAAGTAGAAGCCTGGCATCCTACGTGATTGGTTAGAAGAACATGTGTGGTTTTTTCTGGTTGGTCCTAAGTTGGGCCGATTGCTACAGAGATTGTGATTTGGCTTCCTGGATTGATTGCTACAGAGGTCGTGGTCCAGAGTTCATTTTTTATAAATTGTCTGGCCATTGTCCATTTGAAATGAGAGAACTGTGGAATCATTAATGGTTCCCTTTCAACCTTCCCAAGCAACATCATCAGCCTGGGCCCCTCTCTCCTCTTGCTCAGCTCCTTTTCTTCTTTGAGTCCCAATCAACTTTCCAATCCCTAAAACAGATCTAGAAATCTGTTTAGACAGAGCTAAGAAGTACTAAGGGTAGATGAGCAGGGCTTTGTGTTGATTTGATGTGAGCAGATTGAGGATTCAAAGATAGCTCTAAGATTATAACCAGAGCTACGAGGAGGATCTTGTTAACTAGCTGCAGGTAAAGGAAGAATCTGGAAGAAATAATCATTATGTGAGAGAAGATGATGCACTCAGTTTTTAGGCATTTTAGTCTGAGATGCCTCCATGAAGATGTTCTTTAGAATCATACATCAGGAAACTGTAATACCATTTTAGAGGTGTGGAGACTTGCACCTGGAAAGAGATGGTTCTAAGTTTATATGCCAAGGCAGGGGCTGGAGCAGGCACCTCAGTGTTTTGGTGATCCAGCCACTACATACACAAAATACAGGATGGAGAATGAGAGGTCTGGACTGGAGACCCAGTAATCCGGGAATCACCAGCGTTCTATCAGAGGCAGTCAGCAACTGTTTTGTGCCTTTAACACATATGTCATGAAGACAGAAACCATCTACCAAAGATTTCACAACAGACCCACAGAAGTGAAAAGTAAATGATTAAAGAACATAGGCCTCAAATCGTGATACTTTATCTTCTATTTACAGAGATGAAAGTACACACAAAAAAAATAGTTAATATTTAAGCACTTTTATATCTGCATCTCTCTTTTTGGTAGAGGAAAGCCACTTTGGTGGTGCCGGTGAGAATCAGCCACAATGATTTCTCCACTGCTCATCTTATTCTCCAGTTTTTTCTACCATGTGGCTATTGCAGGACGGAGTAAGTACTCTTTGCTTTTGCAAAAATAATTGATATATCCAACACCCTAGTATATGCAAGGGGTCACTAATAACAACTTAGATTCTCTTTAGAATGGATGCTAGAGAGACTGGATTGATACTTATTCTTTAATATTGCCACGTTTAAAGTTTCTCCATAAGAGAACCAATTTAAGCTTCAGCGTACTCACCTGTAAAATGGGGATAAGGATAGTACTCTTCAGTGGGTTGTTGAGGAGAGTAGTAGAGATATGGTACATATGAAGTATTTGGCACAGGACTTGTTATAGTTATTATTGGCAGCATTAAATAGTTTCCATTTCTGTGCTAGCTGAACTTAAAAATGCAAACATAGATTTCTTAACCAACTGCTTTCTGCTCTATTTCAGCCTGTCCCAAGCCAGATGATTTACCATTTGCCATCGTTTCTCCCTTAAAAACATCCTATGAGCCAGGGGACCAGATAGTGTACACCTGCCAGCCGGGCTATGTGTCCCATGGAAACATGAGACGGTTTACCTGCCCTTTCACAGGACTTTGGCCCATTAACACGCTGAGATGTAGACGTAAGTCAGCGCCAGCACCCTCTCACACATTCTCTCCCCTCATTTAGATTCTGGACATTTTGGGGGGATAACCCAGGGTGCAGCGGGCCAGCAAGCTGCAGAGTGCAGGGCTGCGGAGAAATGAGAGGGTGTGGGGGCTTCTCCATGGAGGAGGAGACGAAGGGCAGTAGGTGTTATTTAAAGAGGAAGAGATGAGCTTGGCCTGGAAATAGGGGAGATGTGAAAAAGAGACCTGGTACGATAAAGGGAGATGAAAACACTATAGAAGTGAAAACATCCTCTGAAATTTAAGCAGACGCATGAAAAAAATAAAACACGAAGAATCGTCATATTTTGGGACTTTGCCTCAAGATGAGAGCAGGTTGAATAGTTACTGAAAAAGCAATACATTTTGTTTAAATTATGTCTGTTATATGTTATATTTATAATAAAATATACATAATATATATTATATTAAATTAATAACATAATACAGATTATATACATATAGATCTCTATTGATTTATAGTAGATGGTTGATATTTTAATTAAATTTATTGGGATGACATTGGTTAATAAAATTATGTAGGTTTCATGTATTCAATTCTATGATACATCGTCTTTATATTGCATTGTGTGTTTACCACCCAAAGTCAAATCTCCTTCCTTCACCATATTTTTGATCCACTTTGCCTCTGGTGAACCTTTGTCTGTGTCTGAGTTATTATTTGTCTTGTTGATTTGTTGCTTTCAGTATATTTCATATATGAGTGAAATCATATGATTCTCAACTTTTTTCATCTGACTTATTTCACTTAGCATAATAATCTCAAGATCCATTCATGTTGTCACAAAAGGTAGTATTTCATCTTTTCTTATGGCTGAGTAATATTCCTTTGTACATATGTAGTACATCTTTATCCAATCATCTAGGACTCTTTGGTTATTTCCATGGTTTGGCCACTATGAATAATGCCGCAATGAACATAGAGATACATGAACAAATGTTTTCAAATGTTGGGGGTAGATACCCAGAAGAGGGATTGCTGTGTCATATGTTAACTCTATTCTTAATTTTTTTGAGGAAGCCCCATACTGTTTTCCATAGTGTCTGTATGTATTTACATTCCCATCAGCAGTGTATGAGGGTTCCATTTCCTTCACATCTTCTCCAACATTTATTGTTACTTGTCTTGCTGATAATAGCCATTCTAACAGGTGTGAGGTGACAGTAGATGGTTGCTTTTATTCATTCACATAGTTCTGTGATATCATGCTGGCATACTTTTTGACACTCGAATACTGAATAACTGACTAGATGGGATTTCTAGCAATTTTATGTAGAAGTTAAGCACTAAAAATAACTATATGGACCTATCTGGGCTCTGGTTATTTTGGTCATTTGGAGACGACCATTGTGAAAATTACATATGTTCGTATAAGTGATTTTAATATACTTTTTGATTAAAATTGACCACACATAATTTTTAATGAAAAACCACTATAATATCATTAGAGAATTTTTTTCTTTTAATCAGCCGTAACTCTGGAACACTATTTCATTTTTTCAGTTATTTTCCATGCGTATATTTTTGCATTATTGCACAGAGCAGATACCATTTTGTGTTTTTTCTATTTTTATCAGCATATCAGAAACATTGACTATGTCGCTATGGTTTTCATAATCAATATTTTATTGGCTGCATTATAGTTCAACTGTTGACTTACCATCATTAATTAAAATAATGCCATGATAGTGAACATTTAGACTGTTCCATCCTTATTCTTACAGGTAACAGTGTAATCAACACCTTAGTGCACATATCATTTGACTTGTTATTTTCTCAGATTGGTTACCAATAAAGTTATCAGATCAAAAAATAGAAATGAGTTTATATATGTTTTATTTTAATAGAAAGTTCTATAAATAGATATTTACCTTTTTATCTTTAAATCACAGCCAGAGTATGTCCTTTTGCTGGAATCTTAGAAAACGGAGCTGTACGCTATACAAGTTTTGAATATCCCAACACGATCAGTTTTTCATGTAATGCTGGGTAAGGATGGGTGACTGAGTAACTGTGCCCTCAAGATAAACATCACGACTGGTCCATATTTTATTTCTAGCCTTTACACTGGACTCGCTGAATACAAATCACTGAATATGAATGTGCAGTGGTATTGAGGGGGTGGGGTAGAGGGTAGAGATTATGACAGCTAGTGAAATATATCTAATTTTTCTGTTCCTGATTAGTTACTTATCTGAGGATGTACATTGAAGTGATTGAAACTAGATGACGATTCCTTATAATCTCTGGACGAAATCTTGGCTTGAGGGTTAAAATACTTTAGGAATTAGATTTGGGCTTTAGTTATGAGGCTAATTTGATAGACTGACCTGGTATTCCCTAGAAGAGAATTTTATGGAGAAGGTTGGGAGTATGATAATGTAAAACAGAGTTCTCTTAAATCACCTAATGCAGCACAACATCCCCAGGAAGAAAGCACTTGTAGTCGGTAATATAGCTCATCTGCCTTATCAGAAAAAGATGCCACCGGTGACATTGTAATAGCATGTTAGTTGTAGATTAAGGCAAAATTTTACTGAGGATCCTTGTTTGGGATTGGAAATTAAGAAATACTATGTGTGAAAAAGAAATGCAGTTCTTTCATCTGAAACAGTAATTTGCTGATGGTTCTGATGACAAACAATATTGAAAAAATTGGCTTCAAGGACGGAATGTTCCATTTTCCATGGAAATAAGACTGCATAGTTTTTTTGTTTCTCTGTTTTCAAATCTGAAATCTTTGTTTCAATTACAGTTGACATACAGCATTACATTAGTTTCAGGTGTACAACATAGTGATCAGGCATTTATATAATTACAAAGTGATCATCCCAATAATAGACTGCATTGCTTTTTACACATCCATGTCACTAGGCTCTCAGAAAATGAATAGTAGAGATTACTCGGTTTGATTCACTTTTGTGATCCTGAAAAGAAAATGGTTCTTTGCTTTATATAAGAAGCAGTTAATTTAGCTAGCTGGTTAGAAATGAGGGATTTGGGGTTTTGGCTTCTACACCCACCACCAGTGGAACCCTCCCTGCCCCACCCGATTCTTCAGCGATTCACCTGGAGCATTAGGTTGGAAGGCTTGATGAGCCTTAGATGAGTGTTAGGCTCCTCGGGAAAACAACATTATAAAACGGGAAAGAGGTCAATAGTATTAATCTGAAGCAATGCACAAAGGAGAAGACATTTGAGATGCTCTCGATGGATTATTTTCCTGCTTGATGGATCACATTTTCCTTTTGCAGGTTTTATCTGAATGGAACTAATTCTGCTAAGTGCACTGAGGAAGGAAAATGGAGTCCAGACCTTCCTGTCTGTGCCCGTGAGTCTGTGGGTCCCAGTTATGGGAAGGTGACCAGTTGGTTTTAGCCTGGTTTTAGCACTGTAAATTCCATGCCCCAGAAACGCTTCAGTCTCAGCTCTGTGAGATGGTTGGTCGCCTTTATGGGGGAGTGTTGGTTCTGATAGCATCTTACTCTGGAGGATGGAACAACTGCTTTGGAAAGACAGAAGGGAAGCATGCTACTCATGAGCACGTTTTGTATCCTCCACCTGATGGAGCCAGTGGTTTCTGGGTTTATTCATTCTAACACTCCCATGATGTTTGGGCAGGAGCTTGGACGTGTGTGGCATTGGTCTACCAGGGGCCGCCACCAATTGACTAGAAGAACTTTTGGAAACAGTGAGATCAAACACCTTCTTTCCACTCTGGAACTTCATTCATTCATTCACTCATTCATGTATTCAATAAACATGTACTGAAGGCCTAATATGTGCCACCTCCTGTTCTTAGCTGTGAGGCTACGAAGCTAAGGGAGACTTAGCTCTGCCTTAGTAGTGATAAGGGAGACAAGCAAGGTCACCATCACGGTAAACTTAGAGCCCATCGAAAGTCTCTGCATCCTAAAAGCTGATTGAGTTTTCTCTAAACGTCACTGATGATTTATTTAGGGGACACTCAGCTGCACCGCCAGGGTAAGCTCTGGAGTTTACTTAAATAGGGAGGTGCGTCCTTATATTACCTAACTTGTGATTTAGGTAAATCTAATCTTTGACCAGGAGGCCCAGGCATTATAATAATAGTTATGGATTTTTAACATTTCAGTGAGGTCTGTCTTAGCAAAAGCAAGTAGAAAAGTAAAGCAATTTAAAATAAACAATAGTTTAAAAAATCTAAACTACAAAAAAAAATGGGGGGGATAAATTAAGTAGAGTTTTTTACTCAGCAGTAGAAATCACCATGGGTCCTATAAATAGTTTCCCTTTTTAAGCAGATTTGTATCTATTTTGTAAAGTCATTTTTTCTTTTTAGTTACAAACAGACTACTTTAGCTTCAGTCTGACAGGGCGCTTCTCATTCTTCAATGTACACACAAATCACCTGGGCATCTTGTTAAAATGCAGAGTCTGCTTCTTGGTTCTGGGATGCGGTTTGAGCTTCTGTATTTCTAACAGGCTCCCGGGCAATGCTCATGCTGCTGGTTTGTGAATCACACTTTGAGTTGCAAGGCTCTAGACAATCCCAGTTAAATCACAGATTGGTCTGCACTCACTTCCATTATGTTTGTATAACTTTCTCTGGACTTGTTGAAACTCCATGTTAGTCAGGTTGGGATGACAATCTATACCGTTTCTCTGTGTAAAGCTCCTTGTATAAGCTCTATACGTACAGATTGCAAAAGGAGGAGGTATTCGATAGGAAAAAACAAACCTGAACTAGCAGCAGAACACAGATGTCACAAGTACTTTGCACCAAATTGCTGTCATCAGCGATAATTGCAGGATGATCCTTCGGCAATGTCCTCCACCAATTCTGACTTCCAGAAACATCTTCCAAGGTAGCATTTGGATCAAAAATTTTATGGAAACCTAACCATTGTGTTATTATAAAAGGAAAATTAGCAGCGGTGAGACTTAAATTTACTTCATTTTTTTAGTTTTTCGACTGGTTCGGACCTTTGATTTTCGGATCGTATTTTCTTATTTGGCTTCTACAATTGATGGCTTTTACTCTGGCAACTGATCAAATTTTGCATTTTCTCAAGTTAATCTTCAGATTTTTTTTTCCTTTCTGGAAAGAATATATTTAAAAGACTCCACCATTTTCATACAAACGATAGTTTTTTCTTTTTCCAGCTATGACCTGCCCTCTCCCTCCCACACCTAAGTTTGCCGAGCTCAGTGCTTATAAGTCATTGGCTGGGAACAGAACCCTTTATGGAAACAGGGCAGTGTTTAAGTGTTTGCCACACTATGCCATGTTCGGAAACGATACTGTTACCTGCACAGCATCTGGAAATTGGACTGAGTTACCAGAATGCAAAGGTAAGTGCGAGGATAAGAGAAAATAATTACAACAGTGCAATTCCCATTTTTGAAAACTATTGAAAATTCCGCTATTTATACTATGTCTTATTGAACAAACTTTTTAGAAGTAAAATGCCCTTTCCCATCAAGACCAGACAACGGATTCGTGAACTATGCTGCAAAGGAAGCACTTTATTACAAGGATAAAGCCACGTTTGGTTGCCATGATACGTTTGTCTTGGATGGCCCGGAAGAAGTAGAATGTACCAAATATGGAAATTGGTCTGCCCAGCCAAGCTGTAAAGGTATGAAATATGGGCGAGGTCCTAAAATGTCTCTGAATCAAAGGATCACCTTTATATGGCATTTTCTTGTTCCAATCGTTTCCTCCTTGCTGCTCAGACTGTCTGCCCAGCCAAGCTGTAAAGGTATGAAATATGGTATAAAATGGTATAAAATGTCTCTGAATCAAAGGATCACCTTTATTTGGCATTTTCTTGTTTCAATCGTTTTCTACTTGCTGCTCAGACCTGCTTCACAGCTATTGACATGTGAAATACTTTAGGCTTAGGACTCACATGTGCATGGGGAAGCTTCATGCTCAGCAAGCTTGTTTGAAATTAAACTGTATGAAAGAAACAGATTTTTGTTGTGTTGATAATATGGTGGAAGTTTGTGTAGGCTTTCTATAATTGCCTTTAAGTCTTTGCCTAGGAGCACCCATTTCTGCTTTGTTCTAGTTGAGACTTCTCATTGTTGCAAAAATCAACCACGCATTCAAGGTGGTTCCAGGAAAAGGGGACTTATAGTGAATGGGCAACAGGCAGTCAGATGGACATTGAGGAAAAGGAATGAAACACAGCTGGTCCTCCTAAAACTTAAGAGTTGAAAGTCAGGAACAATTGCTACTTTTTTCATATCTCCATGGCTGCGTAGCCTCTCTAATCTCCCTGTTTCTCTGCTTACTCACCTTGAACCTGGCTCGACCCTATATTAGGACCTCTCAACTAAAGGATTCATCACTAGCTGGCATCTTTTCCCTGAGATACTGATTCCTTTTGAGTTGGATGTCTATCCTTTATTTGGTCAGTGTCGGGTACATGCAGAAAACCACAACCTAACACTATATTTCTGCTCAGGTTTGCCATGGGCTGGACAGTGTAAGCAGAAAAGGAAATTAGGTATAGCAGGCAAAATGACATATGACGAGTGTCGTAGGTTGGGGTCCCCTAGAAGCAGAGCCTGAGACAGATTCAGTGCAGGTGATTTATTAAGTGAGTGTCTCAGGAGAAAGGGATTGAGGCAGGTAGGATAAAGTAGGACACTGGTTTTCGAACATCACATGTGTTTCTGAGTAAGTAGATCTGGATAGGACTTGAGAATTTGCATTTCTACCAAGTCCTCAGGTGATGCTGATGCTGCTGATCGAACTAAGTTTTGAACAAGTATGTGGGCTCAGCTAGAGTCCAGCCTCAGTTTCATGCCCCTGGGAGCTCCGGACCATGAATTCTACCCCAGAGTCGATCCCACTAAGAGGCAAGGGACATGCATTTCGTATTCCAACGTCAGTCAGCCATTGGCTATAGGTTGCTCCCTTTCCTGACCCTGGGGATGGGGGGCCGATTTGATTGCCTCCTGGGAGAGGTAGCTCACTTACGGCTGAAGGCAGTTTTCAAAGAAGGGAACACATTTGTGAGTTGTCATCACAGTGGCTGGTGGGTAGGAGCACTAGCTCAGTAAATGGATTCTGAGTGGGCCAGCGTAGGCTTATATGCAATGGCAATATCTAGTAGTTCTTTTTTGCTGAAGCTTCTGCTCTGACCTTCATGTGTGGTTTCTGTAGGGGAAGAAAAGGCCATCTTGGAATCCATGATTAATGGTTCTATTGATAAAGAACTGCTGTTAGCAATGATACTGGTGTGATTACGTTCAGTCTTGAAATCTTGTCTTGAGCAATTTATTTCAGGTGTACTTATCTACTGGCTCAAATACTTCATTCTCTTTAAGAAACGCTAGCAGAACTCCTAAGTCTTGACTACAAATATTGTCTCTTTCAGCATCTTGTAAAATATCTGTTAAGAAGGCTACTGTGATATATGAAGGAGAGAGAGTAAAGATCCAAGAGAAATTTAAGAATGGAATGCTGCATGGTCAAAAAGTTTCTTTTTTCTGCAAAAATAAAGAAAAGAAGTGTAGCTACACAGAGGATGCTCAGTGCATAGATGGCACCTTTGAAATCCCCAAATGCTTCAAGGGTAAGTAAGTCCAACGCTGGAACTTTTAGCTCCGACTTCCATTCGCCCCTCACCATAATCGGTACCTTTTTACATAAATGTAAGAAGCCACGTCAATTTGACCATTGGATATTTAAAAAAGAGAAGCGGCAGAAGGATTAGCAAGATGAAGCAGTGAGTTTCTCCACTTGCATAAACATTTTCCTTTTCAATTATTTTCCTTAAAACTCAAGGTGGTGGTTTTATTGATGAATATTCAAGTGAATTATGCCATCTTATATAATTGAAAGTTAAGTTTGAATAATAATAACAATAAAGGGAATATTGAATATTAATAATATTTACCACCTCTTGGTCCTAAATGATAAAGAATGCACCCCAAATTACAAAGTAACTCATGGCAATGGCGATTGGTTTAAGACCTAACCTTTTTTTTCCTTCCTTCAGCAATTCCTAGAGTTTGAAAAGTACCCACTATTCATTAGAGCCAAATATTTTAAGGAAAATAATTATGTGTGTGTGAGATAAAGAAGTTTATAATGGCCAGCATTTACAGCTGCCACCCTTTTAAGTTTCAGGTTGGGGGTTAAGTATCTCTGTCGCTATGAAGGAAGAACCAGCAGAGGCTGAAGCTGTTGTTGGCTCTAGGTTTAGAAATGCTCAAGAATGTTGACAACTCTACGTCAGTAGGCTGCAGAGGACAGAGTTGGGAGCAGATGCAGAGAAGAAAGGGGTCTGCGAAGTGGCCATCTAGAGAGAGAGAGGGAATGATAACTTGTAAATAATACCCACCTCATAGGTTTATTATTAGACATATGATGCAGGATGTGGAGTAAGTGCTCAACCCATGATAGTTATTATTATAATTGTAAATAGTTAGAAATGCATTGAATAAATTGTTATTGTTCAAAACACGGCACAGCCCGGGTGCGATGTTAAATACCAAAAGTAACAAAGCACTGTAAGCCTAATACAAATCAGTGGAAAAAATATTAGAAGAGGGTAATTAAAAACAAACAAACCGAACAGAGCTTTGCTGACGTATTTCTTCAGGCTATTCTTCCTCAAAGTCTTCAGACAGATGCAGCTCTGTTAATGCATTAGGAATAAATAAAGAGCCGATACAGGGTTTTTGTTTTGTTTGTTTTTTTTAAATCTTGATTGTCAGAGTTATATATAACCTTTTATTTTCTCTCTTGGAAATGAGTGCCTTTTCATTTCCCTGATGCTTTCTCGTGTCACATAAACCTCACACTGAATGGTTTCATTCATATAATTCAATTTATTCTATACATTTGTAAAATGTCTTTGATTTATTTAGTTATTCAACAAATTTAAGAAACTGTTTCTCTTAAAATGTTTATCTTTTTCTTCCCAAACAGAACACAGTTCTTTGGCTTTCTGGAAAACTGATGCATCCGATGTAAAGCCATGCTAAGCTGGTTTTTCAGATTCAAAATTAAATATCATACTTCTATCTCTGTCCAAGGAACCTAATGGAAGTAGAAAAATAAACTGACTGAATATGTGGCCTCAGTTATTGCAATGTTGCTCCTCACAGTGGCTTACTTTTCATTAAAATATCTGGTTAAGAACCTCAATATTTGGAACATCGGCTTTTCATGGCTGTGGAATAGAAAGTGTAAACAATTATCTGAGTAACCCAGCTCTCTTCTCTCACATTCTACTCTCAAATGTTTTCAACTAAAAAACTGTAATACAGTATTTTTTCATAGAATGGTCTACAGAGCCCCCCATCAGTATCTGCTACTTATGACAAAGAAAAAACTCTATGTCCCAGAATTTCTGAGGATGGTCCAAAAATCTGCATTTATGACAAGGTCCCCCGATAATTTTTTGTATTCTCAATTTGAGAAGTATGGCCATAAAGGAATAAACATGATGTTCTAGGTCAATAGAACTGGATTGGAACCCTTGAGGTTTGGTTTACAGAATCTTTCCTAAAACATCTTTTCTTACCTACTAAAATTCCGTGATCCATCGCGAAATCCATCTTTTATTTATATGCTATTCTCTTGCCCTTCTCTCCTTCTGTAATATATGCTGGAAAAACTGACCGTCTCTAAGCCTGCACCATAGCAGCTGAATATTACTGGGGAAAAAAAAGAAAAACACAATCCTGCTAATAGGTTCCACTTTCAATTTGTGAACACAAAGCATACATAAGCCCTCAGCTCTGCCTGGCAATCGTATCATGTTTATCTAGCGTGTTCGCTCCCCTGCTCTGCAAGATAGCTATTTCTCTTCTCAGTCCTCTTCAAGCGACCTTCCCTCTCCTCACTGTCAGTGATGACCTTGCTCCTTATTTCACTGGAAAAATAGAAAAAGACCTTTTTTTTTTTTTTTTTTGTCTTGCCACTACCAAATGCATCACCTTGTCAGTATCTGTGCCAGGTACCCTTGCCCTCCATCTTGTTACGATGGAGTAACTCTGAGATCTATTTTACTCTCTCTCCTCCAACCCTCTCTCTAAGTATTGGAGCCTGGGTTTGAAGAGGATGTGGTGTCTCCCTAAACCAAAAAGCCCTATTTCAGGATTTTGCTGAACTCAAGAGCAATCCATCTGGATTTCCTCTCTTAGCACAAAGGTTTTAGAAACACTGTTTTCTTTAACTGGTCGCATGTTGATTTTAAAACCGACCTCCTCCTCATTCCACCTCACAGCTCTAGCGATGGAAAGAGATCAGCAAAGGTTTATAGCCTCTCTCCGTGCCCTATACATAATCGCTGAGTTTGCTCCAGAAAAGGAGAGAATATATTTCTCTATTATCCTTCCTTTTGTTGCAAAGCCTTTCATAATTAATTCTATGGTATCAACATTTAAAAATATATAGAAGACTTTTTTAATTGCTCACCTTGTCTCAGCTCATTTGAGAGGGAATGGACAGGTACAGCAGTGAAGGTAAGTAAGGAAGATTTCCTCTGGCATCTGGTGGGTGGTTACCGGGGGCCTTCCTAATACAAGCCTGAGCCCTAGGACTTTTGCTCCATCTCCGAAAGGCCCCCTATAAAAGCTCACAACAGGGTTCCGTCTTCTTACACAATTACCATTCCCTACTCGGATCAACTAAGATAAATAAATTCAGAATTTTTGAAGTCCTGTATAACTCGGCTCACACCCAATGAAAGAACATACTTGATGGGGGATTTTTTTTTTTTTAAATTTAAGTATTTACTAGCTATGACCTATCTTAGGGGTGTAACCAGGAGGGCACAGTATCAGTCAGAATGGATTGCAGTCCTGGACTGGGGTTTGGGAGTTGGTGGGGTCAGTGCTGGAAGCTTCCTGATGTCCCAGGCGTGACCCTTTTGTTGTTTGACTGTGGGAAAGATGGGGAGGGGGTCTTATGCGAAAAGCTCGTAGCCTCGTGGTTGGCACTCAGTGCTTGGGCAACAGCTATTTACCAACTGGTGTAAAAGCTTTTCAATATTTTAACACACTGTATGTTTGGCCATGCCGGCTTTCAAGAAGGATTTGGGACAACTTAATGCTGAAAGGATATAAACAACATAAAAATAAATCATACACGCCAAAAACAAAATAAAACAAGCACACAGATTTTGTATTTTTTTTTATTGTTACACCATTTTTAAAGCTATTTTTGAGAGCATTTTTAGGTTTACAACAAAATTGAGAGAAAGAGAAATTTCACATATACTCCCTGCCCCTACGCATGCCCAGACTCCCTCATCGGCATCACTCATTAGAGTGGGTGGGTGTGTGTGTGTGTGTGTGTGGTGTGTGTGTATTTTTTTTTTTTTTACCAAAGATGAACTTACATTGACGTATCATCATCCAAACTCCACAATATGGTTTAATTCTTGGTGTTGTACATTCAGTGGATTTGGATAAATGTATAATGACATATATCTGTCATTTTAATATTAAAAATCCTCTGCGCTCTGCCTGTTCATCTACCCCACCCCCACAAACACTGATTTTTCTATGGTTTCCATAGATTTGCCTTTTCCAGAATGTCACAGAGTTGGCATCATGCAGTATTCTGCCTTTTCAAACTGGCTTCTTTCCTTAGTAATACACATACGGGCTTCCTCCATGTTATTTCGCGGCTTGCTAGCTCGTTTCTTAGTGCAGAATAATATTCCACCTTCTGGATGTACCAAATTATTTATTATCCTTTTACCTACTGAAGCACATCTTGGTTGCTTCCAAATTTTGGCAATTATGAATAAAGCTGCTGTAAACATCCATGTGCAGGTTTTTGAGTGAACATAAGTTTTCAACTCCTTTGGATAAATACCAAAGAAAATTGTTGCTGGATCATATGGTAAGAGTAGGTTTGTTTGTTTGCCTATTTGTTTATTGAGATATAATCGACATATAGCATTGTATTAGTTTCAGGTGTAGAACATAATGATTTGAGATATGCATCTATTGCAAAATGATCACCACAATAAGTCTAGTTAACATCTATCACCACACACAGTGATACTTTTTTTCTTGTAATGAAAACTTTTCAGATCTATTTTCTTAGCAACTTTCAAATATACAATGCAGAATCAGTAACTATAGTCACCATGCTGTATGTTACATCCCTATTTATAACTGGAGGTTTGTACCTTTTGACCACTTTTACCCATTTTGCCCAGACTATATTTAATTTTGTAAGAAATCGCTAAGCCGCCTTCCAAAGTGGCTGTACCATTTTGCACTCCCATCGGTCATGAACGAAAGTTCTTGTTGCTTCACATCCTTACCAGGTTTGTTGTCAGTATTATGGATTTGAATGTGTAGTGGCATCTTGCTGTTTTAATTTTAATTTCCCCGATGGCATATTTCATATGCTTATTTGCCATTTGTATATCTTCTTTAGTGAGATGTCTGTTAAGATCTTTGGCTCATTTTAAATCTGGTTGCTTATTTTCTTATGAAGTTTTAGAAGTTCTTTGTATATTTTGAATAACAATTCTTTATCAAATACGTCTTTTGTAAATATTTTCTCCCAATCTTCTCATTCTTTTTGATATTGTCTTTTGCAGAATAGAAGTTTTTAATTTTAATGAAGTTTAGCTTATCGATGGTTTGCTCCATGGATCTTGTCTTGGGCGCCGTATCTCACAAGGCATTGCCATACCCAAGGCCACTTAGATTTTCTCCTATGTTATCTTTTAGGAGTTTTATAGTTTTGCATTTTACATTTCATTTTATGATCCATTTTAAGTTAATTTTTATGAAGAGAGTAAGGTCTTTGTCTAGATTTTTTTTTTTTTTTTGGCTCATGGATGTCCTGTTGTTCCAGCACCATTTTTTGAAAAGACGGTCTCTGTTCCATTGTGTGGCCTTTGCTCCTTTATCAAAGATCAGTTGACTATATTTATGGATCTATTTCAGGATTCTCTATTCTATTCCATCGATTTTGTTGTTGTTGTTGTTCTTTTGCCAATACTACACTGTCTTGATTACTGTAGCTTTAAGTATGTGTTTGGAAATATCAGGTGTTCAGAATGCTAAAAACTCCGAAGCCCAGCATTCCCGTTTTAAACCTACAGTACATCTCTACCTCCTCCCACTCCAGCACATTCCACAAAGAAGCGCCCGGAATATGGCGAGTTTGTCGAAGGTGGCTTTTTGCACTATTTTGTTTATTGGAAGACCTATTTGGCTGCTGGATAGGCTTGGGTCTCTGAAAAACAACCAGAGCAGACTTCAGAGCTTAAGCCATATTACTGAGTCCTCTAATTTAATGATATTTTCACAGAAAGAGAAAAATCTGCTATTTTTGAAATCCATAGAGGCAATTAGGATGAGGAGGAGCCCATCAGCAGAAACTATCCATTTGCAGCCCCTCTGTTTAATGATTATGTGGTCCATTTAATCCCATAAGTAGTCTCTCTTTTCCAAATGTTGTCTTCTTAAATGCTTAGATCACCGGGTTGCTTGTCATTGAAATTGGGCTACACCTTCCTAGCCACAGGATGCAGTGTTTTCCCCACTGACAGACAGTCCAGGAAGCATTACCCTCCTCCTCCCACAGGCAGCCCACTGAAGAAAGAGTGAAACTATAACCACTGTTGCTGGTAATCATCCTATAAGTTAGCGTGGCTGAATTTCGTCTTCTCATCTTCTATAATGCTACTTAACCAGCACCTGCAGACCCTGTGACCCCTGTAAGCTGCCAATATGGCCAATGAGGCCCTCTTCCAGGCAGGTGGGTTCCTGGATGTCCTTCCCAATGACCAGTTTTCTTCTCTTAGATTATGACAGGATGGCTTCTAAATACAAAGGTGCCCGTGTTTTAATTTGTCTCTCATGCTATAACATAGTCCTGCAAGAACTGGTTTATAGTACAGAAAATGACTTCTCTCATTTGTAAGACATCGACTGATCTTTCAATAGATGAGGTCTCAGAAATGAGAAATGAAACCCCAAACTCAAAAATAAGTATTCACCAGTGAAATCTCCCACTGGCTAGCATGAAAATTGTTCCCCACCTTAATTCCTAAATAAAAGATTAAAAAGATTAAAAAAAAAAAAAAAGGAATAAAAGAAAACAGATTAGGGTG